AACATTAAATAAACGATGAATGGATAGATCACCATTTTGTTGGAAGATTCATTTCAGCAACTTTTATCAATAACATTTGTCAAACAAATGGCCGTTTTTTATCGTAATAAATTCACATTCTGTAGAGCAGTTTATCACCGCAAACTTTTATTTATTGCTACATTTTATTAGTTGTATGAGGGGGTTGGTGGAAGGATGGTTTAAACCGTTGGTTTAAGACCGCTACGACCTGGGTTCGATCCCCGCATTGGACAATTTTTTTTTTCTGATTTGAAAAAAAAAAAATGTTCCAATGGTCCTTGCAAAAGTTCAACCCCACCAGTGAGTGCAAGTAACCAAACAGGGCTATGGCACATTTGTAAGTGCAAAGTTGAACTGCTTTTCACATGTGTGGACATGTGATGCACTTACAGTAAAAGCAGTCGCCTACTTCTACCCACCATGTTTATCATGGCCTGTACCATGTGTACTAGGGATAAGCAAAAAAAGGTAGCTGTATGATTTAAATAGTAAACACTACTTCATCAGTCGTAACAGAAACAATGTTTTTTTAAATATATATGTATATTCGAAACTATTATAGACGCATATGATTCTTTTCAGAAATTGAACAATTTCTACTGCCCTTACTGCAATGAAAAATTAATGGGAGGGCTTGAATCATCAGTGGTGAACCCTCCTAGTGGTTTCGCCAGTTTAATCTATCATTTTAAAAATAATCATACGCGTCTATAATAGTTCGAATTCTTTTGATTGATTCTTTGATGATATTGTAAGGATAAACATAGATTAAATATTCCATTTTCAGTCGTTCTCTTCCCTTTCTTCATTCCATACATCCCTTCTGAAAATCCTTTAACCTACAAGGACAAACTAGAACAACAAATCAATATAGAATATACATAAGCAATAAATTTGCCACAGATAGATTAATCAATCCATTATCAATATATCGATTTTTTTTTGCTTATCCCTAGTACATCTGGTACATGCCATGATAGTTATGGTGGTTAGAAGTAGGCGACCGCTTTTACTGTAAGTGCACCACATGTCTACACATGTGAAAATCAGTTCGAATTTTGCATTTAACAATATGCCAGAGCCCCGTGTGAATACTTGCACTCGCTGGTGGGGTTGAACTTTTACAAGAATTGAATCTCGAATTGGAGCATTTTTTAAAATCAGATAAAAATGCCCAATGGGGGATTCGATCCTGGGTCGTAGCGGTCGAAAACCAACAGTTTAGACCATCTTTCCATCGACCCTAAATATAGAGATAAATAAAGGAAGTCTCACATTGCAGAGAGAGGGAGAAGTTGGTGTGAGGAGCCAATAAAAAGTTAGGAGTGAAGAAAGTCGCCGTTCAAGCGTGTTGTTTGGCCAATTGTTTGGCCGTCTTTCCCTCTAATTTCTCCCTCTAATAGATTTCTCCATCCGAGAGGAAGGATACTCGGCCAACCCACGTCAATAACTGGGACTAGTATGTAACTAGTCAATGACATATGCTGTGTGTTGTGAACAATAGTCAACTTTCTCTAAATATATAAAATTATACTTGTATCATACTATATATATATTTATATATATGTTGTAATATATTCTATTATAGATGGAAAATTTGCCGGGAGGAAATTAATCCACAGAAGCAATGGGCGCTTCTCCCGTCAAAATAAACGTCAGAATCTCTAGCGGCCTCGGGTCGGTGACAAAGCCACAACACCAACTTTGGCAAACTGAGAAGCGTCCACCTAGAGACCATGGTTTCGGGCTAATGGCCCTCGTCAGTCTAGGGCGGACTTTATTCCACGAGATCCACACGGGATCTAATGGAATCCTCACAATCTACCATCACAATTCTAATATATACTTATATATAATATATAATATAGCTATAGTATAATAACCAAAACTGTAAAAAAAAATTAAATCGCTAGTTCGGCCATCATGTACAGTAGAACTTGGATAATTCGAACTTCTTTAATTCGAAAACCTCTTTAATTCGAATATTTATCTTGGTCCCTAGAATTTCCTATTAATAGAATTTCCGTTTTTAATTCGAATTTTTGGATAATTCGAATTTTTTTATGGTCCCTTGGGGTTCGAATTATCCAAGTTCGACTGTATTACCAAAACGACAAAATAAAATTTCGATTGAGTGACAGCCGGCGCCAGGACAGGAAAAACATGTCGGGGTTACCACGTGTGTCCCCTTCTTGCTCAACAGATCAGTCCGCTTTGAGACACGATGATTGACAGTTCCCTCTCTACAGATCTGTCCTGACCGGCGTCGGCTTCACTTGCTCTCTCGCCATCTCTGTGGTGACATCTAACATGTCTCGTCCTTTGTGTAATCCCAATTACACGCCTGAACTCACTCTAAACATTGTGGCCACCACGACTTCAACCAACATGCTACACTAGAGTCATTCTACAGCATAAACAATACTACATTACTACATATATATATATATATATATATATAAAAGGGTATCTCCTTATCGTGAAATGAAAAGTTGCTAGTGGCTTGGACCATCTATCGGAATAAATATCAACTATTCTTCGATTTTTAATTATTTGCTTAATAAAAATCAACGAATTGTTGATATTTATTCTGATAGATGGCGAAAGGTAATAGCAAATTTCAGTTGCACGTTAAGGAGATACCCTTTTTTTATTCTTCATAATTTATGCACCTAATCCCAATACAATATCACATTTGTACTTTTTCCACACATATATATATATATATATATATATTATATTTAAAAAATGATATTATTACTGTTGTTTTGGATCATCTGGATGATTATGCTATGGCGGTGCAGTCGTGGTTGAAATCTTGAAATAAAAATAATAAAAATAGTAAAGATTAGAAATTGCTTTAATTGAGCTAAGAAATATAAAAACATAACTGGATAAAAGTATTGCCTGGCTTAAGGCGTAAGAATAAAAAAAGAAAAGCTTATTTACATAATGTACAAAAGTTTTGGGCCGACCAACGGGGAAGAACAACAACGAGTTTTTATAGAGAACGCGCGACCTCTGGCGGTCGATTTATACAGAGTATTTATATCTATGAAATTATAATTTTAGAATAAAATAATACTTTGATATGACATAATTTTAAATAAAATATTTTAATATAACATATATATATATATATGTTTAATTAAAAGGGTATATATTGGATCAAAATATCATTTATTTTACCAATATTTCAGTTGGCTGAACGCCAACCTTTATCAAGGTATTATAACATTTTATAGTGTGTCAACAACAAGCTCAGCGCCACATAACGTCAACAGAATTAAATTTTAAAAAATATTTTGTTATATTCAATGGAGAGAAAAATTTTATATATAAATTTATATTATGGACAAAATAAATTTTGTAAAATATGGGTGTGAATATTTTGAAAAATTAACAATGATACCTATTTTATATTTAAAATTATTTGTACTATGTGTAAAAAGATTTTTCGTATAAAAATAAATACAAATAACAAAATATATATAAAAGAAAATGTTAAACTAAATTTCGCATTGCTCTAGCGCTAATATTCGCGGAGTTATTAATATTTAAAGGTGTGCAGTACTTTTGGATCACCCTGTATATCAAAAAGACTCTGCGCTATTTCTTGAACGTCAACAAAAACTTTCAGATTCTCGGACAGAACAACAACATATGCTGTGAAAAGTACATATATCTAGTTCTAAGAGTTTAAATACTTCACTATGAATATATTTCATCACAAGAGAATCCTCTACATTATAAATTATCCATGGAAACAACAACTAATGCCATCAAAAAGTTCCTTCTTTGAAAGTTGATCTTTGAATCACCACAAAATTCTAATCAATATCCTTTTAAAATTTGATTAAAAAAATACCCTATGCATAAATTCAAGTTAAAAGTTTTTAAAATATATTATTCTAAAAGTTTAATTAATTATTCACAAGACCTTTACTTTGGATTAAGGGAAATGTGATTAAATTTGGTCTATAAATTTTTAACATTTTTCCCTCTAAATTATTTAGTGCGAACAAAATTTTTAAATAAATTTTTATTTTTGATAATAGAATCTATGTTGAAATTTTGGTACGAGGAGGGTAAAAAAATCGTTTCATAGAATACTTTTTTTTTGCTTATCCCTAGTACACGTGGTACAGGCCATGATAATCATGGTGGGTAGTTAGCGACTTTTTTACTGTAAGCGCACCACATGTTTACACATGTGAAAAGCAGTTCGACTTTGCACTTACAAATGTGCCAGAGCCCCGTTTGGTTACTTGCACTCGCTGGTGGGGTTGGACTTTTGCAAGAATCGGGGGCCATTGGAGCTTTTTTCTTTAAACAGAAAAAAGTGTCCAATGCGGGAATCGAACCCGGGTCGTAGTGGTCGAAAACCAAACGGTTTAACCAGCCTTCCACCGACCCCCCTGAATAGAATACTTGGGTTAGATAAGGTGAATGATAAACAAATATTTATAGAATTTGAAGATACATTCAGCAGAATCTATTTCAATTACCGTGGACCTAAATTACACTAATGAATTGAAAATTCCAATTTTAATTATTATAGTTTTTAAATAATCTATATTCATACTATTAATTCAGTGGTTTATTATAACAATACATTAAACTCTTTTGATAATGTAGAAAACAGTACAAAAGTGAATTTTTACTTGGATCAGGAAGATAAATTAAGAAAAAAAACATTTCCTGATCGTGCAACTGAAAGTTGATATTTATTCCGATAGATGGCGCGAGTCATCAGCAACTTTCAGTTGAACTGATGATAATATGTAATTAAACTTTATTTCTTGTATGAATATTGCTTTAAAATGTAAATTTAAATAATTTTCTCTTCCCCTATAAAACTAGAAATTATTAATATATATATTTTGAAACTATGTACATTTTTGAATTTTATATATTATCATCAAATCAGACGCAATATCCCCAAAAGGGATGCTTGTTTCAAGAATCAACACTATATGTCCAGGGTAGCCTAGTGGACATGGCATCTGCCCGGTAAGCGGAACATTGTGGGTTCGTTTCCCATCCCTGGTCACTTTTATTTTTCCGTTCATCATTACTCTTCATAATTCACCTCTCATACCTCATTCAAAAGGTTGGAAATAGTCAATATTTCTCCTTGAAATAAATTTTGATTTTTCATTGAAAAGAAACTCACAAGGTGTAACTTCAAATGTCGTTTACAATCAACACTATGTTCAGAGATTATTTTACATAAACAAATGTAGCCAAAACAAAACAACCAATGAAATAAATACAAATGTATACTTAGTTTAGCAATTAAGGGTTTTTTAACCAAGAGATAAAATCATAGATATATTTACAGAATTTCTTAAATTTAAAATATAAGTCCTTACTATTTATAAACATAAAAAGATCCTTGTATTCAATGTTTTTCCGCTTTCTGTAGTTCTGGAAGATTGGACATTCAATAAGCAAGTGACTGGAATCCTGCCTTCTCTCTCCACACCCTGGATCGTCTATAGCTCCTATTCGAAACAGAAAGCCTCTAAAGTTTCCATGATTAGTGATGAATTGTACATTATAAAAGTCAGAGCAGAAATATTTTGAGATGCCTGAAAGGAAAAAGAGACGAAAGTAAGCACATAAAATAGTTAAAACATTTACACGCAAATATCCACATAGGATATAGCATGTGTTTTGTAATAAATAAATAAAAATGAAGCTATATACCAGGTCTATTAGTATGAAACGCGAAAATGGCTGCCAGAGGGCGCTGTGCAACTTTATTTGAGCCGAGGGTGGCGCTGTTGAAGGCATTTTGTTTTTTGACTCACGTGGCATCAGCATGCGTGGAGTTTTAGAAAAATACAAATCGTGGAAAATTTCTGGAGCCCTTGGAAAATGGTAATTTCCGAGCCAAAAAGTGCCCATTTGCGGGAAGTTTTGTTGTTCGCCTTCAACTGGAAGAAAAGTGCCACTGATATTTGTTATAAATTTGTTGGCTCCATTCTCAAACACCAATCTATTATTTTAAATTTTAATCTTTCTCAACCAATATGGATTTGTTTAAGGAAAATACAACTCTTTATCGTGAATCTAATAGTTGCTGATGGCTTGCGCCATCTTTCTGAATATGTATAAACTTTATCGTTGATTTTAATCAACTATATTAGATTTTTTTTCCAACACATAAGGCAAGCCATCAGTAAATTTTAGTTCCACGATGAGGAGATGTCTTCTGCTTAATTTATCTACTTTTTATCAGTACAATTTCACTTTTCTACTATTTTTCATTGCAAAAGCTCGCTCTCTCAATATTGGTTAACAGAATAGCGTTGTGAATGTTTTACAATTATTTTGGATATTATTTTGAAAATAGAGAGAGCAATCCATAAATAAATATTTATTTGAAAAGGAATATATTGGATTAAAATATAATTTATTTTACCAATATTTTAGTTGGCTGAACGACAACGTTTATCAAGGTATTATAACATATTAATGTGTGTCAACAACAAACTCAGCGCCACATAACGTCAATAGAATTAAGTTGAAAAACATATATATTCTTGTCTATATATTCAAAGGAGATAATTATATGCATATCAAATTATTTTCTTCCCATTGAATATATTGGCAGAAAAAAATAGTTTTAAACTTTTTTATTGACGTTATGTGGCGCTGAGTTTGTTGTTGAAAAATTTCAATATGTTATAATACCGTGAAAAATGTTGACGTTCAGAAAACTGAAATATTGGTAAATAAATTATATTTTAATCCTATATATACCTTTTTAATTTGTATATCATATGTTAAAATAGTGTCATCATTAAAATATTTCTCTTAAAATTGAAAGGTTTTGAAATGATAATCTATGACATTTATTTTATTTCGTCTTAGAGCGCTATGTTCCCCTAGGGACACTTGCACTTTAAAGGTAAACTAAACATAGAAGGAAAAGAAATAAAGAAATTTTAAATATATACAAGAATTAGTATGCAAGTTATTTAGATGAAATGAGACAAAATATCAACACAATTTAAATATGTACAAAGGGATGGTATGCACATTTAGTTAAAAAAATTAAAATTGTAAAGTATTTTGTGCATTCGAGGAAAACAATTAACAGATTGAAGAAATTATGAAAAAGGCATCTTCTTATCGTGCAACTGAAATCTGCTGATGGCTTGCGCCATATATCGGAATAAATATCAACTATTCTCGTTGATTTCTAATTATTCCAGAATTGGCCAATTACCCATTCTTGATTAATCAAGAAAAGATAACCATATACGCGTTTCAGTGATTGGCCAATTCTGGAATAATTAGAAATCAACGAGAATAGTTGATATTTATTCCGATAGATGGCGCAAGCCATCAGCAACTTCCAGTTGCACGATAAGGAGATGCCTTTTTCATAATTTATGCACCTTATCCCAGTACAATATTACATTTGTACTATTTTTTCAGATTGAAGAAAGTTTTAAGGGATATTTTAGAATAAAAATATGCAAGATATTATAGAATTATTCAATCAAAGCTATGCTAAACAGAGTTAAGTTTCTAATCTATGATAGGGGTGTATCTATCCAAAAGAGTCTAAGAAGAGAATAGAAAATTAGCCTGTTCCCATCAAGAATAGAATGTGAACTTTTCCGAATTCTATATGTTTCTATGAAATAAAAAAAAGTATTTTAATAATATTTACAGAAGATTGGATTCCTCCCATCCCGATAACTATTTTTTAAAACTCTATTTGCATTTAGAGTCGCAGATAAATTCCAAAATTTCAGTCTAAATAAAAATTGGTTCAAGTTGGAATTACTTTGACAATCTCAATATAGAAGCGCATTTGGAAAATTTTCAGAATTGGTATTCAAACTATCTTACATTTTACTTCATTACAGAATGGACTATGGGGGATATATTTTCAAAAATGAGAGGATAAATATAGAATTGAAAGAGTTTCAAGTATCAATTAAAGATTTAACGCTAAAAATATTGAATTATTTACGTTAGATCTTGGTGTTGTATTGATATTGCAACAGTTCTGCATTCATATTTGCCATATACATTCATGGACAAAAATTAAGAAATTTGTGATTTTCAATATGTACATCGGTATTCAGACAATAACTCTGAAAGATATTATACACAGTGACCTTTATTGAAGACAACACGAGATAACAAAGTGTGAACAAAATTGCCACTTAATCCTTCAAAAATAACGATAACTGGCGACATTAAAGAATTTCATTTCCTTAAGTTGGAGCTAAGTCGGCCTGCCACTGAGTAGTGCTCCCAGTCTTTATGACAAAGGCAGACGCATTCTTCTTCACACTGTCATGATGGTTGTCAAACAGACACCATCAAAAGTCACAACTTGATACCCTAATATGTTTGAGTAGAGATAAGGAAGAAGAAGAAGAAGCTGATTTCCTCAGGTTTTAATCTCCATGAGTGTATATATATTAACAAATTTTGAAAATTTTAGGGCGGAATTAACTTTTTAAAAAATTTAAATCATCCACATCAATACTGTCTTTTCTGCAAGGCTTTCTTTTTTGTTGTTCAATAATAATTTCAAAATTGAATAACAGGTGGCATGGTATGTCATTGTTTTACATATACAAATGTATTTGATTTTCAAAAATAAATGTAAAAGTATTCGCGTAATATATTAATAATTCGCCTACCTATACACCCACCTATAATATAAAGTGGCCAGAACGATGAAATGTGTAAAAGAAGAAAAAATAAATGCACTTTAACATAATGAAGCAATATGTATCTACATAAATTTGAGAACGACATCAATCTTTCTTACGCTAATTCGTTCATCTGTGTTACGTTAAAAAATACTTTGCTGTTCTCCAAAATTTATGAAAAGCCAATGCTTTGGTTTTGATTTTCACTTATTTTGATATTCACTTCAAAAAATATTTCAAATCCCTAAAATATTCCGGACTTGAAGATATATATATATTAAAATTGAACAAGACATAACCTGATCGCGAGTACATGAGCATTTTAGATGTCATAGCTCCATCTAGTGGAAGATAAATCAACTAAACGTTAATTATAATACATCATAATACAATTGTAAATGAATAATTGTATATATCCCCCACACACCTCTCACATTATCATAAATATGATGAACTAGGTTGCTCTTTTTTGAGTGGCACCCAATAAAGTTATTTAGAACTGGAACTGCACCCATATATAAGAGAACGTGAGGATAAAAAAAAAGAAATGTAAACAATGAAAATATTTGAGGAAAGACTATATATTCATCTTTCATCTTCAATTGATCATTTACCGAATAACCCGGTGAGGAGACAAAGTCTAATAGCTTTCTACATTGTACGTGTAGTGCACCTATAGTTCAGGTAGTTGTAACCTCTTATCAACCACGGTTACAATGACCTGTACCATGTAGACATGTATATGTAGGACTATATTCATCACCAAATAGTTAAATTACAACAACAACAATCAAAGCCCTTTATTATGGACACTCTTATCATACGGGATTCCCCATGAAGGGTAAACAGAAGCAATATGTATCTACAGAAAGTTAGAAAAATACAATCTTTCCTCACGCTGAGTCGCTCTTCTGTGTTACGCCTTTTGGACTGTGGAGATCTCCAGAATTTGTTAAAAGCCAATGAATTGGTCCTGATTTTCACTACTTTTGCCAATAAAACATATGAAGAATTGCCTTCATAAGCAATTTTATTTCGGAGAATTACTCTCTCAACTTCCAAAGCCGGGCAATAAAACGTGTAATGTGGAATTTCCTGATTAAATTCATTATTACACATAGCACACTTTAATTTCTTTGATTCAAATAGTCAAAACATTTGACTTATGTTGCTGTGTTGTGTTATTGGAATAGCGGTATTCTATCCCAAAGGAACAAACGCTGTCTCTACCAGAGAATTATTGTCACTTAGTTTAACGACAGTAATTTGTGGCAGGAATCAAGTTCTCAGGAGACCATTAAACTTCTGGGCGCCACTCTCTTCTGAATAATGGCAGCATCAACATGCTCTTCTTTCGTAATG